GAGGGCAATCGAAGTCATCCAAAATCACACCATGTTCTGTTTGGACTTTTCGGCGGCCCAGAGCGTACAAGTTTTGGCTTTCGAAGAGGCCCTCTCTTTCTGCTCCCAGTACCTTTATCAAACGGAGAGCTGAAAGCCGCACTTCTAAGCACTTGCACTCTGTAACAACGAAGAACAGCACAGGTGAGAATGCAAGTTCGAAAACAAATCGTGGTAGCCGTATGGTCCGCAAATTATTAAAGTCAGAAGCCAATGCAATCATCTCGCGGAAGCCGTGTATGTGTATTTCATCGTTGCCTCCATGATCCACTGGGAACAACATATCGAAGCAAACTTGACATGTGTGGAAGCGCATACGCATCAGTGCTTGCGGACCTTCGCTAGCACAATTTGGCTGAGATGTTGAGTCAATGTCGAGGCCATCCATCAGTTCTCTGCATTTCTGCAACAGGGAACCGATGCAGTTGCGCTCCTTCACCTGATCGAAATCAGCTCCTTTCCTCTTCCAATGTTGTAAAATCATTAATCGTCGGCAAATTTCGTCGATCATCGAGTGTGCATCCTCTACGTTATCAAATTTCGTCGGTACCGCATATCTTAGGACATGTGCGAGGGCTGAGTCCGCAGGAGGCCTTCCAAGGAGCAGCGGAAGGACACTTAGTCGCCGAAAGACTGGTACGAGATGATCTCGTATCCAGGGTTTGTCGCTGCCATAAGTCTCTAAGATTTGGTTGCCGTGTCTGCAGTGCCGAATCGCGGTTTCGTTATTTGACTGCAGCAGCTCGATACATGTAAACAAGACGCATACAACAAGGACTAAAGACTGATCTTGCACAGCCTTCACACCTTTGATTGCCGCATTATAGTACTGTAATGCAAGCAAAGGTTCAGTGGATGGGACCGTCCGCATCTCGCGAGCCTCGTACAGGTGACTGATTGCCAACAGTGAGTACTTCACTATTGGCTCAGATTGGCTGAGCTGCATGACAAAGTACGTCCAGAAGGCAGGCTTCCTAGGGCCAGATAGACGAGGCGCAGCGTATTCATAGAAGTATTGCAGTGACCTTCGCTCAGTTGCGGAGTCTGATCCATAATGTCGTAGGGCTGCATGAATCTTGAACTCTACCGATGCCTGTGCCAAGTAGCCGTCGCACTTTCGGCCGGTGTCGTTGCAGCGTCGACAAGAAGGCTTGGTTTCGTCGCACTTGATCTTGCGAATCCTACAAAGATTAGTACAAAAGCACTCGCCTGAGGTCTCTGCGAGGTAGTTCGATCTATGCATACTTGCAAGTCAAGCACCCGGTCTTAGTCTTCTTGGAACCTTTTCGTGCCATGGGATGATCACATCAGGCGACCAAAGATAGGTTTTCTCATCAATTCCGGCAATATTAAGGCATGGGAGCTCTGATTCTGTTGATACAGGTGTGATGACTTGCGCTCTAGTCTGTTCCACCTGATGTGATGATGTAGCTGGGAGTTCGGAATGTCCCTTTGTTTGCCATGGGTCTGGTGCGGTAGGTCATGTAAGACTTGAACAAAAGCCGAACGAGCCAATCAAACTTCGCACTAAGTAACTTGCGATTTATAATCATCGTCGTCACTGTACTAGCTACCTCATGAACCCTCTGATTGGTTCATTCGGTTTTGAGAATCCTAGTACGGATAGAGTTGAGGCTAATGACACTGAATACATGTAATTGTCGTGGCTGTTACGAAGGATCACACACGAGCGGTGCTTAGCTTACAAGTTCTCAAAGGAGATAACGTGGTGTTTCATTTCCTTTGGTTTTTCAATTGAGAACGTCGAATGAGTATTTAAGCGAGTGGTCCTCCCCTCAGCAAATGCCCGCTGCCAGCTCAAGACATTGAAGCTCAACCGCCCTCAGCCCTTGCTTATTATTCAGACTACCCTTATCTTCCTCAAACTATATTCCAATAACAGTCATGTCACCTGTGCGGCAAGGTCGTAAGATTGCCTTAGTTGGCGCCAGTGGTAACCTCGGGCAACGCACCCTGACGGCACTGCTCTCTCATGGCATCCACGACATCACCATCATTGTCCGGAATGAATCCACCTCTCAGTTCCCTGAGAACATCACCATCGAGAGAGTTGCCTTCGACGACGAGGCTACCCTCACTTCTGTCTTGAAAGGCCAAGAGGTCTTGGTATTGCAACTTGGCATCCCAGCTGTGGGCCTCAGCGACGTCTTCATCCGCGCTGCCGCAAAGGCCAACGTCCCGTACATCCTCCCGACTGAGTTCGGTAGTGATCCAGAAGGAAATCTCATCGAAGAGCTGCCCGAGATTGCCAGTAAGCGCAAATACCGAGAACTCATCGAAAAGCTAGGAGTTGGTTCTTGGATCGGTGTCATTACCAACCCTTGGTACGATTTCTGCCTGCCTATGAGCGATGCCTTTGGTATCGACACCAAAACACTCAAGGCTACGCTTTGGAACGGGGGGCGTACAAAGATGAATTACACTACGCTGGCCCGAGCTGGAGTGGTTACCGCCGAGGTTGTGGCTATGCCAGACGTAGAACTTGCACGCTATCGCAACAAATGCTTCTACACTACTTCCTTCCACGTCACCCAGAGAGAGATACTGAGCAGCATTATGCTGGCGACTGGAACATCTGAGACTGATTGGAACATTCGCGAGGAGGCCGTGGATGATGTTCTTGAGAGAGCCAATGCGATGAGTGGGAATGACGCACATGCTGTGGTGCTTGCGAAGTTTCTCCCGCTGCATTACAAAGAGGGCGAAGGGGGGGATTTTAACAGCAAGACTGAGGATCTCGGCCGTTTTGATCTGAGCACGGAGGACTTTCATGCCGTCACGAAGGATGTAGTTCAGCGAATTATGTAACCCTAGAGTGCTGTCCTGCGCTTGGAGAGAATCGGAAATAATCTTTGTCCTTCAGAACAAGCATGTCTCGCGTTCTCTCTGAAACTTGTAGAAGTCGGTAGTTGCAACCTGATTGTCCTTTGGATACAGGTATCCTTGTGGCTGCATCAAGCATGGACTCCTGACCACCACAACAGGTCACACTAAATGTAAGGTACTTCTCATAAGTAATCGAAAATGACTCACTGAGCTTAGACAGTACATAGAAAGGCACCAAGTGGTCATAGATGGTGATAATACGCTGATGTTGCCCCTTTCGACTGTTGATTTGCTCGAGAAGCCGACTCCAACCGCTATGCCTCTCACTTGGCACACACCGGACCAATGTCGGACCAACTTCTCGGCCCGGCCCAACCCCGCCAAGTGAACGCATCTCAGAGCGGTCGACTAAATCGGATAGACATGCATCGGCATCAAATCGGTAAACGGACGGATCGCAGTCCGGGTGAAACAGAGTGACGTGACGTTTAAACCAGACCGCGAGTACACAAATCCACAAGGATGGCTTCCATCTCGTGTTTCTCCTCTCTCCTTGCTTTGCGACGATTTGATCATCGCCTCTTGAAAAGTACCTTGTCTTACAGCAGTAGAACATACCAAAAATGACCGCGTGGAAAGTGAATGGCAAAGTTGCGCTCGTGACCGGTGCTGGATCAGGTTGGCATCCTTACCCCTTTTTCGGAGTTACTAATACTAACAGAGTTCAGGTATCAACCATGCGCTAACCAAAGCCCTTCTCGAGTCGGGCTGTTCAGTCGTCATGGCGGATTTGAGACTACGTCCCGAGGCCGAAGATACACTCAAGAAATACCCTCATCCCCCAATCAAGCCTGACACCGCGTCGGCTATCTTCCATCAGACAGACCTCACAGACTGGTCTCAGATCAACAAACTGTGGGACGCCGCACTCAAGACATATACGCGAGTCAATTTACTCATCAACGGGGCCGGAATCTATGATCCCCCATCCAGCGACTTTTGGAACCCGCCTGGGATCTCGCCTCTGTCCCGAGACCAAGCCGATGCCAAAGTCGGCATGTATCAGGCTTACGCCATCAATACCATTGCCCCTGTCAGACTTGCCCAGATCGCCGTCGAATACTGGCTCCGTCCCGAAAACCGACATCTTGCAGGCAACATCCTCTGGGTCGCCAGTATGGCGGGCTACGTCCACGGCCTCCTTACACCGTTTTACTACTCGAGCAAGGCTGCCGTTGTCAGCATGTGCAAGTCTCTTGGCTCTTTGAATAAGGTTGCCGGCATTAGGAACGTCGCAATCTGTCCGGGAGTAGTCGATGTATGCTTCAACCTGCCTGGACTCCGTCATGTTCACATGCAATGAGTGCTGATAGCCTGCCGCAGACCCCAATCTTCCACGCCTCCTACAGTCGAGAGCGTGTACATGCCGACGACTTGATGCTAAGCGTTGACGAAGTGGTCAATGTTGCCATGTCTGCCATCTGTGACTCGAAATACGGCGACGGGAACGTTATCGAGGTGTTCTGCGGAGGAACGAACGAGGACCACAAGGTCTGTGTTCGGGACGTGCCCTTGGAAAGCCTGTACGACGTCGAAGGTATGAAGGGCCTGGCAGCTGGAACGCATATGCTAGACAAGCAAGACGAATTCGAACAGAAGTTGAAGAAGGGTGGCCTGGGGTTTCCTGCAAAGATCTAGGAGCGGACACGGGTTGGACAGATAGTACGTCAGTCTGCATAGGAATAATCCACTGCCGCAGGTATTACCGCTTATCGAATTTCGAATACAAGGCAGGCAGGGTAGTGACACCAGGATGATACTCCTACTAATCTCCTAGGCCAAGGTTGAATGACTTCGCGGGCTATTCCATGATAGCGTTTCAGGGGGAATGAAGGTGTAACCACACTGCAGTACTTCGGGCGCGGTTCCGTATCCTGTGACTTTCCCTACAGTATAGTATACCATAAGGGGTTGCCTACTACTTGAGCTAGCAGTTGAGCCAACTCCAACGAATGCCATAAAAGCCCTTTACCCTCGTTCCAGCCGCACTTCGAGCACAAGCCCAGGATCTATCAATTCTGTGTAGAGTCTTGGGTTGGATCCCTGACCTGAGCTTAATTTCCCTCAGCGCTCCTCTCAAGCTCTTCCAGAAACCTCTTCACTTCGGAATCCAGTTCCAAGCCCGACTGAAGCATGTATTTATCGGTGCCTTCTATCTGCAGACCTTGGAGAGACCGGGCACGGCTGAGCGCTACATAGGCTTGGCCCTTTTCAAAGACAGAACCCAAGTCAACGATTAAGCGGTCAAGAGACAGACTCTGGCTCTTATGGATGGTCATGGCCCAGCCTGGAGCGAGAGGTAGCTGTGTCCGAGATATGAGCATGTGCGGGTGCTTTGTGCCAAGTTCGTTTACTGCGCAATCCGGGCCAATGACACGGCGTTGGCCGTTATTGAACTCGACCTCGGGGTCTTCTTTGAGTCAGCCAATTTGAGAAAAAAGTGAAGAGTTTGTCCCAGCAGCTGAGCCGGATTTCTACTCACATAATTCAGGCGCGCCTTCGTCCGTTAAGAACCATTCCGTCAGACGAAAACGTTCCATAGCAGCATCGAAAGCTGGCAAATCCTTCTTGTAGTTTTTTCGCTTAGGTTCCGTGGGACGTTCAATCTTGGAACGTGAGACAAAGTCGCAGATTTTGCCCTGACTGCCGTTACACAGGCCGCTGTCTAGATCAATCTGGTGCATACAAGTAACGAGGTCAGTGAATCTAGCGACAAATGGTTCTATGCAACAAGTGATTGCGGAGGACCTTACGTTTGCAAGCAAGATAACCGGCATATGAAGCTTCAACTCCAGAGATTGGGCATAGCGATGCTCCCCCAGGTAGGACAACGGTTGCCGCGAAGACGGTGCTTTAGGGTCCGAATCTCGCTTCTGGATAATGTACTCTGTCAATAACCCTTACTTTGCAAATTTTAGAATCGCGCCTAGATACAGCTCGACGCATGAGGTAGTCAGCACTTGCCGTGTAGTAATCGATCAGAAGATCAAGTTCTTCATCTGTGCTGTTATTTTTATTGGCATAATCGAGACACCAATATTCTTGGGACAGGGTATGGAGCCGTTTGAGCTGATTCTTGTTGTGCTTTTGAGCTTGCAATCTACGACTGAACAAACGAGTTGCGTTCTCAACCTGGGTTGGATGATTTAGCAGTAGGTTGATATCTCCCGGGCTGAGATCTTCACCCAACCGGCATGTCTGAAGAATCCTGATAAAGTCCTTGTCTGTTTGTCGATGAACCTTCTTCAGGTGGACGTACTTGAAGTTGCACCTCACCCACTCAGGAGACTTGAAGGCCCATTTGTCGTGCTCCATGAAATACCCATGAGCATTTCGCTGCGGCCCTTCATCGCTGACTCCTTTAGGGCAGAAATATGAACGGACTGAGTTCCCGACATTTTCCTGTTGCATTTCCGAGCCACAATCAAGACAATACTTGAATGGCTCTACCGGAGGCAGCTGGCAGAAGTCCCCAACAGCCATGACCTGGACGCCGCCAAAAGCGCCTTGAGCCTCCATCCAACTCTGGGAGTTTTTTGGGGCTGCTTCGCGTCGAATACGTCTCATGACCCGACCGAGTCGTTCAAAGAATTGATTCTCAACCATGCTGATTTCGTCGATGATAAGAACATGGGTATCAACTATTCGATTCTTGTTTTCATTGTGTCGCGACTTTCCCATTAGTCTACCGAATGCATCTGGCTTTGAGAAATCATCCGGTGTCCAGCCCGCGTAATTCCACACTGTTCTACCACCGATGTTGACAGAAGCGATGCCGGTAGGTGCGATGAGTTGGACTTCTCGTTCATTTGCTTTGAACATCTTGTGCAAGGCCTTTACGAGGACAGATTTGCCGCATCCGCCTGATCTACATGCATGTGAGGTTAGTATATGATTATTGGGTTATTGACGTAATGAATTGGACCATCATGAAGCCACCTGGCTTACGCACCCAGTGATGAAAAGGTTATGTCCCGCCATGGCAAGATCCATGGCGGCTTGTTGTTCCTGGACAAGAGGGGGCTCGCAAGGGTCCGGTACGGGCTCGAAACTATGGGCTTGAGGCTCGCCCGTACCGGCAACTGCGGCTGCAACATTGCTGGATGCGGCATTGCCAGGTATGGGACTGCTGGACGCGGCAGGGGTATACTGAGGTGTGCTCTCATGTGTGTTTTGCGGCGTAGGCTGTGGCTGCGATGCAGTGTAAGGTTGCGTTTGAGATACACGCCTTGCCTCTTCTGCCTCAAGCTTTTCTGTCATTTTATTACGCAGGAGATCCACCTAGGACAATACACATCAGAAACGAACTTCAATCGCAAAGCAGAGTGATGTCTCACAGCGTCGTTGTATGTTGGTGCTTTCTTGTCTGCGTTCAAGCAGTCAGCCCGGGAAATGCTTTTTGCCATGTTCGAGATTTGACTTACACCCTTGCCCTGGATAACCTTTGACCAACGGCTCACATTTTCCCCAACTTTCGAAAATGCCAGTTTTCCTCCCATTCCATACCACGAAGTACTTTTCGGCGCCGGAAAGTTCCTTTGGTATGCCCGACGTGTACTTTCTCATCATGTCGTTCACTTTGTCTGCTACTGAGGGTTGCGGGGGGGTATCAGAAGGCCCGGCATCGGACTCCGCTTCAGAGCCGGAGTCAGCTTCAGAGTCGTCTTCAGTGTCATCTTCAGGTTCGTCTTCAGCGTCATCTTCAGGCTCATCTTCAGTGTCGCTGTGTCTCGTCAAATCAATCTGGTCAGGCTCGGGTTGGGATCGCTGTCTTTTGGGTGATGGTGGGGAGAGGGAACCGCCCGGCGGGCGTTTGGGCGCGCGACCCCAAGTGACTAGCCATTGGAATATTAGCTTTGTTTCTTGTATGATGGGACTTGTAGTCGAGTTTTACGAACGTGTGGTTTGTTTGAAGGCCATTTTAGTTAATCCTTCTTTTTGCGCAACGGTTGGAAAGATCCCGCGTCATGAGGCGGAGAGGCTCTGGCACGGTCGCGTAAATTTGATATTAAATGAGACAGACGCGTCGCGGACTGATTAGATTGGGTGGCATTAAGCTCCCAAAGGCTCGGGCCACCCGTTCAAAACCTAGGTACCCAGTATTATGGGGCTCGGCTGAACCAGAGCAAATGCTCCGTGTTCGCAAAGTAAGGCACCCTAGAAACTATTGACCCTAACGAAAGGAAAAGATTCGTTACGGTAGAGTTCTTCTTCATTGGCCAACAATGCCACACATCAACGCGCAGTTCAACGCCTTTGGTACGGGAAGTTTATGACGTCTATGGTCCACGGCACTTGGTGCTAAGGGATTCGAAGAACTAGCCCCAGAACGGCTAGGGAGCTTAGGAACCAACATGCACTGCACCGACGCACACACCCACGGTGTCTGGACCAGCTTGCTGCTAACACTGCACCCTCATTCCCTACAATTACAGCCAACACTGAATCCAACGCGTATTTCCGATCATCATTCCCGCCATGCACTGCTTGTCCCCCGCACGAAGCGAGTCAGCTACTAGCAGGGGCCCCATTCCGGGGCCCCGGACAACTCCCGAGCCTCCCCCCAGCTCCAACGTCGTCGCCGGACACTTCTCCGCCCAAACCTGGCAACGGTCGACGACTAACATCCTCGACGCCGCAAACATCGTCACCTTCTAGCGAATTGGATTTCGTAACATGGCGGAGCCGCACCACTTTTTCGCGGGGATTCCACTGCGAAAAGCAAGCTATGGCTTGAGTGGGGGAGCAGCTTTGTCTCGAATCGGTCCAGAAGCGGCGTCATGGGGTCGTGGACCAACGCCAACATGACCCCCACCTAGACCTGGCTGGCGTGGATTCGTGGGGTCAATGTGCCGTCAGTGGAGATGTTTGACATCGTGAGCCTTTCGCGGGGTGGAAGAGCCAAGCTTGGTCTGCACGATGCGTCTATCTCAACTTTCCAAGGTGCCTCTGGGGATGTGGAAAACGCTGGATCCGCTCGAGCTATCAATGCCAATATCTCTTGCATCTTGCTCCCTTATTCTCGCTCAGAATCACTGATACCCATCAGTGATCATCACCATGGTCGTTAGCGGTACGGAGGTTGCGAAGAACAACACCAGAGACTCGTGCTGGGTCGTTGTGCATGGCCAAGTATGGGACGTCACAGGTAGGCTCATGCTCCGGTACCCAGCTTCACATTGCCAACTCACACTAGACCAGACTTCCTTGATGAGCACCCTGGCGGCGCGAAACTTATCATCAAATGTGCCGGCCGAGACGCGACAGAAGACTACGACTCTATCCACAACCCAGACCTCATCACAGAGACCCTATCACCAGACCGCTGCCTGGGTCCCATAGACCCAGCAACACTACCAGAGCCGCAAGATGCCTCGTCGAACGCTCCTGAAAAGCAAAAGCCTGCTTTCCCACATTTAGGAGCCATCATCAACGCCGCCGATTTCGAAAAGGTCGCGGAGAAGTACCTCTCGCCCATGGGCTGGGCGTACTACTACTCGGGCGCAGAAGACGAACAGAGCCTTGACGACTCGCGCCGCATATTCCGCAAGCTCGCCCTCCGCCCGCGCATTCTCCGAAACGTCGACTCCATCTCCACGTCCACCAACATCCTCGGCCTCCCTACTTCCCTACCTTTCTACATCTCGCCTACAGGACAGGCCAAGTACGCCCACTCCGAAGCCGAGACGATTCTCTCGAGCGCTGCAGGCAAGGAAGGGATCATGTACTGTATGCCCACCAAGCCGAGCGCGTCGGTCGAGTCCATCTTCAACGCCAGGGTGGACGAAGCACAACCGTTGTTCTTTCAGCTATATGTTGATAGGAACCGGGAGAAAGCGCAAGCTACGATTCGCAAGGCAGAGAGGTTAGGCGCAAAGGCGATCTTCGTGACGGTCGATTCACCCGTCATCGGCAAACGCGAGCGCGATGAAAGGCTGACTGTTGGCGATGAGCCTCTTTCAGAACCCAGCGGCGTGGCGAAGACGACGGCTTCTGGGCTACTGAATGCGGGGTTGACGTGGGCTGATTTGACATGGATAAGACAGACAACCTCGCTGCCAATAGTCATCAAGGGGATCCAGTCGGTTGAAGACGCGGTCATCGCTCACGAGCATGGAGTAGAAGGCATCGTGCTATCGAATCATGGAGGACGGTCCCAGGATACAGCACAGGCGCCCATGCTGACGCTCCTTGAGATTCGCAGATACGCTCCGCACTTGCTATCCCAAGAAACCAGAGCCAAGTTCCAGATATTTGTCGACGGTGGCATCAGACGCGGTACGGATATACTGAAGGCTATTGCTCTTGGTGCCACAGCTGTTGGCATTGGTCGGCCGTTCTTGTACTCGATGACGGCTGACTATGGCGAGGCTGGTGTCAGGCGGTTGGTGCAGATCCTAAGACATGAGCTACAGACTAATATGGCGCTCGCGGGTGCCACGAGTGTGGAACAAATTGTTCCAGAGATGGTTAATAGCGAACGTGCTGAGAAGGAAGTTACAGGGAGGGTGAAGTTGTAGACTATTTCAAGGGCTATGTGTCAACTGTGGACACTGACAAGTACCATGTTTCTCCGCAACAAGGAGCCTTTTCACCATAGAGTCTATCTAAGTCACTTTAGTAATGATCTCATTGCTTATGTTCCCTGGAAGAAAAGCGCATTGCGGGAAATACTGCAACGTCAAAGACAGGTAGTGACCTCTCAGTTTGCTAGGCAATCATTCTTCATACTGAGGCGCGATGGGACAGGTAAATGAGTTGCTGGTAGAGGGGACAAGTGCTGGAGCACGAAGTTCATGGCCATTTGTTTTGGACTTAACTTAATTTCAAAAGTTTGTAGGAGCTTAAGGCAGTGTCAACACCATTAAACATAGCGAATTAATCCATCCTCAAGACTACTAGTTGAATATAACAGCATTACCCAGTCGACGCTTCAAATGAGATATCTGAACCCTCCAGCGACCTGCGCCTGTGTCGGACCATGCTTCCCCGTGTCCTCGCCCCGGTCCAACTTGGCATTCAACCTTCTCAACCAAATCCTCGTCACAGTAGCGAATCCAATCGCCAAACCTGTCGCCGCAATATTCACAATAAACGCCGTGACATATCTCGGCGCACCATAGTACAGATAACTACCCCAAATATTTGGCGTGTTACACATGGCGTTAATCAGCGCAATAGCACTCGCACGCTTGACCGAAGGCTGGGCCAGACTACCCGTAATCCACGAAAGCACCACCACCGCAGCGGCATAGAAAGAGCCCGGGAGAAGCATCATGGCGACGTAGCGTGCTGCCGTGTTAGTTGTTGAGACGGCAATGATGTTGGCGACAAGGGTGATGCACAGCGGAATGACAATGTGGAGAAAGCGTTCTTGCTTGCGGTCTGAGTGGAAGCCGTTTAGGAGCATGGTGATGACGCAGAGGAGGAAGGGTGGCGCGGTGAGGGCGTAGGTCATTGTGCGGGAGAAGCCGAGGCCGCCAACGACGGAGGGGAAGAAATTTGCGACGGCGCCGACGATGTAGGTCTGATGGTCCGGGTGGATTAGCAAAGTTGTTCATGGTGTGCCCAAGACTTCTCTAACCTCTTCGGAAAGGTGCTTGAAGGGGCAGATAGGTGAGGTGTGCGACTTACAGAGTAGAGGACTCCCATGAGCAGCCAGGTCTTTGGGTCCGTGACGGCCATCATGAAGCCCTTCATAGCGGTGACTTCACTGGAATCATCTTCCTGGCCTTGATCTGCAGCGAAGTTGTACTGCACCCATTCGCATTCCAGTTGTGTTAGAGTGGGAATCTTCTTGTTGGAATTGGGCAGGATGCATGCGAACGGAATGGCCAAGCCGACGGTAATGACGCCCTCGACGAGGAAGAGCTGCGATTGTCCTGATCAGACCGAGAAGGCTTCAGATATAGCAAAGAAAACAGGGACATACCCAACGCCAACCTGCAAGTCCGTGTGCACCATCCAGGTTCAGGATGGCGATGGCGAAAAGACCGCCGAACGCATTGCCCAGCTGGGAACCAGAATAGAGGATGGCAGTCCGCAAAGCAAATTGCTTTCGGTTACTAGAGAGACATAGATCAATATCGCTCGGGACCAAGAGCACATGAACGGGATGGCTTACTAGAAGAGGGAGAGGAAGTACAGTGCACCAGGGAAGAAGATGGCCTCAACGAAGCCAAGGAAGAAGCGCGCCATCAAGAGGCCTTCGTAGATGTGCACCACGGCCATTAGGGAAGAAATGACACCCCATGCAGCCATGCCACAGCAGATATACGCCCCGGGCCACTTGATCTTGCCGACAATCATGTTTGAGGGAACTTGCATGAGAACTGCAGAGCTATCGTGTTAGTCAGGGTTTGAGAACTGTGCTTCTGCGACTGAACGGATTGGAAGTTCTCACTGTAGCCAACAAACAGAATGCTGACGGTTGTCTGGTACTCGACTTGGCTCAGGTTCAGGTCTGTGGTGATGTCGGCGAGCTTTGCGCTGGCAATGTTCTGGCGGTCGAGGTAGTTAACTTTAATCATCAGGTATGTTAGTCGTGTCCTCTGGGAGAAGCTGGTTGGAGTACGTGGGTTGCACTCACGGATGTACATGATGACCATGATGGGCATGATCACCAAGTCCATTTTCAACGTCGCCTTCTTGCCAATTCTCTCATACTCCTCCTGGCTCAAGGCCGCCAAGCTGGCGGGCATGATGAGGTTGCCGCCATGTTGGCTTAGTTTATCGGCGTTGAGGTCCTCGACCTGGTCCGAAGACCTCTCTGTCTTGTCCATATCCATGGTTTCTTATTGGCCCGAGACTGAGTAGAGCTTGTTTCTCTCGTGGCTCAGATATCGAATAGCAACTGGGATTAAGGGATTCAGCGAGGTGAGAGACAAGAAGACCTGCCCTTGAGAAGTCAAACATGCGGCGGTCGAAAGACGTGGGAAGGCTCTGAACTTAACCTCCTTTTCCCCGGACCCGTCAACCTTGGAACAACCTCCCATTCCTTCTCCTCGTCCCACAATCATCTACTTTCCTTCGATTCCCCCTATCCTGAGGCAAACGTGGAGAACAATCCAAACGCGGGGAAACGACCCCATGGGGTAGGGCCTAGCATGGCAGCATCCACACGATGCCTTTGTTCCTTACTGCTTGGCCATCCCTGAACCCCCAAATATCAGGCGACCGTGTGCCGACTTTCTCGTCGGACCGCCCCCACCTTGCAGCTCTCCGGCATCAGATCCGGCGTTAGGACAGAAGGAATATGGGATTTCTTGGACACCTAGGGGCCAGGGATGTTTGCGGGACTATGTGGGGGTCATACGTTGGGGATCATGGGGTAACTCTCTTTTACCGTCTGGGGACGGCGAGCTCTCCAATTCCCTCGAGCTCTCAAGTACCAGTACAGTTAGCTTAAGAGCCATAGGCACGATGAGATATGCTCGGCTCTCGTACTACTCATCTATATTCCAAGCCTTGGTATTACTCTTTTCTGTCTGGTAGAATGTAACTGCTCCATGAGACCTCAAGGAGTATGGAGGATGACCAAGATCTAGGTCGATGGTAGACCGTAAAGGTGCTTTCCCCACCTCCACGATAGCCATCATCACTCAATCCGTTCTCGTCTTTGACCCCCACCTCGGCATCCATTTTCCAACATCCATGAATCGCTGACCGCCTGGTCAATCCTCCATGCCTTCGACAGGGATATCACTTCTAAGTTCCACGAGACCAAAAGGAGTATCGAAGCAACCTGAGTTCATGACTGAAGAGTAGACGTAGTCTGTAGACTTCCTATCAGTTACATCTTCTGAAATTGCCCACATACTTGATCAAATATGCGATGGGCTAGCTCGTCTTACTTTCAGCATAGAGTATTTGAAGAAGCCCGCCTGGCACTTGAGCAACCAGACCTAAATAGGTTTCAGCCTATCAACAGAGAAATGCATCTCTATCCGTCTTTCTTAGGGTTCATCATGTCCATGTGGGTTCGATGAGCCAATGTAATGTCCATGCCCGGGCAATGCCGGTTCGATAACGCTATTTCCCCAATGTAAGGCACGCCACATGGCTCTACTCCTTACAGGTTCAACGTATGCGTACCTAGGTATTCACCTGGTTTCAGGCGAGCCCGACTAGTGTCTTGGGACTACACACTTTGAGAGTACGTTTCTCATGGCACGCCGTTCTGTTCAGCCCATCTTCGGCGTCACTCTACAGAGATAATCCGGCAGGAGAACGCCACATTCACCGTCAAGGACTGAAGAACGTATGACAGTGCAACAGCCTATCATGCAAGCCGCATCCAGCTTTGTCTCTCCAATACACCTGTCATTTGATAGGGCGATGGCGGTCTAAGAGTCGCCCTGCTCTTCTGTTAGATGTAAAGCTGTCAATAATAGGGCAAAGGTGTTTCAGGTCCAATCAAGAAATAACAAACGTAATTCTTGTTTCCTCCAAGAGAAAACACTTGCGGAGCTGCTTGCTTTAGATAAGATTACCAGTGTACCGGAGCTTGAGGATAGATCTTGGATATGAGTATATGCAACCTCCCTCAGTAAGAGCACATCTGGAACACAAAGTTTTCATAGGAATGCGATAATGTATAGTCCGTTGGCTATGCCAACTCAGAATTTGTCTCTAAAATTGTACAGGAGAATGAGAAGAGGACTCAAGCAGCACCCATAGTTGCATCTCAACAAAGAGCAGAAGCCTTGATTCTGACACACTTCATCGCCCGTCCAACGCGAGCGATATCAGAGGCAGATCCTGCGCCTCTTATTTCTGATGGTCAGGCCCATCAGTGACGGAGCTTGGCGCAGGCGGCACTAGCCTTTGCGCTGGGAGTGGCAGAACGAGTCGCGGTGATCAGAGTCGTCGAAGGCAAGCTGCTCGGGACAGTCGCCTCAGCTGCCGAGGTGCTGTTGACCTCGCTCGATCCACCGGTCCAGACAGCAGGACCAGGCATCGGGAAATCCTTGTATCCGTTATAGAGGCTGAAGCTCACGTAGGGATCGGTATACTTGTAGGCGCCAGGGAACTTGACCAGAGGGCCAGGGGTGCCGTTGCCGCCTCCTGTGACCTTGACCTGGACGCAAGACACGAAGTGCTCAGGCTCGTGGTCAAACGACTTGTGGACGCCTAGAAGAGTTTGTTAGATTATCAGGATACAATCGACATACACAAATTGAAGCCAATATCTAAATTCTCACCGATGTGCTCAAACCGCAGGAGGTACTCCCCTGAAGGCGTATCCTTGGGAATGGTGGCGGTAAGAGTGTTCTTGTCCCAAGTACACCAAGCGTCGTTGGTGAAGTCGCCACTCTGGGTGCAAACGCCAGTCTCGCCAATCTTGAACCAGTCACCCGAGCCGTCGTAGTCCTTGACGCTGCCATCGGGGGCTTTCGACATGTAGTACAGAGCAGGTCCTATAGTAATTGGATGCAGATGTTAGTCAACGTGCAACGTCGAGGTGAATCATGCGGCGACAGAGTCTTCTAACCAGGGTGCTGCATGGTGGCGCCTACGCCAAGCTTAACCGTAACGTCGCTTCCCGCAGTGACGTCGAGGACCTCCGTCTTGGCGGCGTTGGTGAAAGCTCCTTGGTTGCATCTGCTGTCCGGGCCGTCGATGTAGGAACCATCGCGAATATCGGCAGCGGGGTTGTTCGAGAACTTGATCGGATTATACTTGGTGGCACGGGTGAAGTCTCGGATGTACTGGAAAGACTTTCCGGCGGTGCCATCTTGAACCACGGTGTCGAAGAAGTAATGGGCGGATGCCACCTGGGCAACGGCCAAGACAACAGGAGTTAACTTCATTGTGACCAAAGATGTTGCGTTGTGTGAATTGGATAGACCAAAAGAGTGAAGAGAAGTAGAAACGAGAACGAATGAGGCGTATGAGTTGAACGGAATGGTCAATGATGGAAGAACCAACCTTTTTTGCATTTTATATCATGAATTGTCGTATCTAGGTCCACTGACTTACGAATCAATAGAGAACACTTCGCACTACAACATCGTAGTCTTAAGACCCAATGTTTCAAACGAATTGGGTAAGTCAAACCCCCCACTTCCCGGCACCCCCCTGTTTCTGGCACCCACAAAAACGCGAAAATCCACCACAACGCAATGCCCACCCCCAACCTCCTTTTATCACAACATTTTCAATTCGAGTCCAAATGGGCTCATTTTTTGCACATACCTTCTTCTATATCTAATGCCTCAATATACCGAAGATCAGCTTCGTCAGGCTCTCGAGGACATCTCAAACGGCAAGAGTCAAAAGAGAGCCTCATTGGAGTATGGGATACCACGATCAACCCTCCAACTACGTCTCCAAGGTGGTCAGACTAGGAAAGTGGCTTTTGCTGACTGGCAGAGGCTGTCTCCTGACCAGGAGAGTAAGCTGGCACAATGGGTTCGCATTCAGGCTTCGCTGGGCCTCGCACCAACGCACCAACAGGTGAAGGAATTCGCAGAGCGAGTTCTGGCTGCTGCTGGGGATACCAAACCATTAGGAAAGGCTGGATCTATGCCTTCGTGAGAAGGAACCCTATCATTAAGGTTCAGAGAAGTCGTTCCATCGATTCTAGACGCGTTAATGGGGCATCTACTGAGGTCATTAGGAACTGGTTTAAGTTCCTTGCTATCCCTGAGATCAAGGACATCAAACCAGCCAACAGATATAATATGGATGAGACTGGCATCCTCGAGGGTCAGGAGCTAATGGGTTAGTGCTGGGCATGGCTGAGACGACGTCTGTTCGCAAGAAACAACCTGGGTCGAGGGCATGGGTCTCTATCATTGAGTGTATCTCAGCCTTGGGTAGGGCACTTCGTCCTCTTATCATTTTCAAGGGAAGACGGTCCAACAACAGTGGTTTCCATTACATCTGGTTCCATACGATGGGTGGGAGTTTACAGCAACAGATAATGGCTGGACTACAGACTTAACTGCCATTGAATGGTTAGAGAAGGTGTTTATCCCACAGACTATGCCCGAGGCTGAGGGCGAGGCTCGACTGTTGATTGTGGATGGGCATGGGAGTCATACGACGACAGACTTCATGTGGAATTGCTATATTAACAATATCCATTTACTGTTCTTACCACCACACTCCTCTCATGTCCTCCAGCCACTTGACCAGTCTGTCTTCAGCCCTGTTAAGTCAGCCTATCGGAAGGAGCTCGGTTACTTGTCTCAATGGAACGACTCTACCATTATAGGTAAAAGGAACTTCCTGGACTGTTACCAGAAGGCTCGACTTGCTGGTCTATCAGTCTCGAACATCAGAAGTGGTTGGAAGTGGACTGGTCTACACCCTGTAGCGATGGTTAAGCCCTGATGAACCCTATGGTATTACCTGAGCCTTCTGCTAAGCCCACCACACCCAAACCAACCAGTCGGGGCAAAAAGCGATGCCATAATGGTCAACAAACTACCCCTGTTGAGCCATGGGATTCTGCTTCCTCTGCAGTGGTCTGGTCGACACCCAGGAAGCTGGCAGAGCTCAGCGGTCAACTGCACTATACACCCAACTCGACAATGATACCAGCACTCAACGGCTGCTGTTCAGGAAGGTGAAAAAGGCTTCACAGAGCAGGCCTGGCAACTGGCAGCTGCCCAGCAGCAGCTGGCTCACCTGAGGCCTCAAGTTACCAACGCTGCAGTTAGGAAGAGGAAGACTGTTCAGATCGATCCCAACACGAAGTTTGCGAACATCAGGGATATCCATCGGGCTCAAATCGAAGCGGGTGAAAAGGAGGTTATTACGGCTGAATCCAGCGACTCTGAATGCCCTAGTGAGGCTGGCAGTTGTATTGTAGTGGGTGTGGTTGAGGATCAATAGTTAATAGTAATGAGGAGGTTGGGTTGTGATCCCATCGTTTTTGTGGGTGCCAGAAACAGGGGGGTGCCAGGAAGTGGGGGGTTTGACTTATGTGGTGATGCCGCGGAGTCCTTCAATCAGAGCTATGGCCATCTCTAGACAACGATACTGTACATACTGCAGTACAGTCGTTCCGAGTTTAGACCTCTATACTTCCTCATAACGACTGGTCCAGATTTCCAGATAATATTTAAGGCGCAATCACGGCCAAAAAGCCCCTGCCGTAATTTGTAGTGGAATAATCCATATTCACCTGGCCCCTGAGTTTCATGTTCACTCTATGTCACTTACCGAAGAGGGACTAGGAAGCCCCAGCTTCGCTGCTATGCGAGCAATTCGGACGTTCCCGAGACTAGATCACCAATGTTTCTATTGGAGCGATTGGTTTTCTTTCCCTGCTCCAATGAACGCCACTGTAGCTTGGTAAAAATGACATGAGCACAGTATTATTTCGAATATATTGTCAAGACTCCTTAATTCTGGGTCCAGCGGGCCAGCATGCACCAAAATCCGTAAATCCTAGAGACGAGCAATCAGAATGACTTTTGGACTGATTTCTATCCTGCCAAAGGGGATGCGAGATTCCCGCGTTGTTTGGTAGTTTCTTGAATGCCCCATGGATATGAGATCCGCAAAACCCCTGGAGTTGTCGTTTTTCTTGGCACGCGGATTCAGCCCACTCCCACATTCCTTTCGATATCGAACATCACATTCTTTTTCGTTCATGATTGGCTGATCAGATGTCACCCTTCACAACTTTGCTTGGTGTTGTCGGCCTAGGCGCCTTGGCACTTGGTCAGGTTACTGTCGACACCAACTCCAAGCTGCAAAAGATTGACGGATTTGGCTTCTCTCAAGCTTTTGGGCGTGCCAAGGAGTTCCAGAACGCATCCACAGCCCTTCAGAAGGAGGCTCTCGATCTATTGTTCAGCCCTACCAAAGGTGCCGGGTTCAGCATCATCCGCAATCGCATTGGTTCCGGCGGCAAAGGAGACAGCATTCTTCCCACGAGCCCTGGATCGCCTACAGGCAAGCCGACTTATACTTGGGACAACGACGACAGCGGTCAGGTCTGGTTCACGAAGCAGGCCGTCAGCTACGGGGTGAATCAAATCTACGCTGACTCTTGGAGTGCTCCTGGATTCATGAAGACGAGTGGTAACGAAGCGACGGCAGGGTGAGTTTCGAGAACGCAAGTAATTACTCGAATGGCTACTCTCTAACACGCTCTAGATACTTATGCGGCACAACCGGTCATACCTGCTCCTCTGGGGATTGGCGACAAGCCTACGCCGACTTCCTCGTGCAGTATGTCAAATACTACCAGCAAGCCGGACTCAACATTACTCACCTAGGCTTCCTTAATGAGCCTGACTTCTCGTAAGCATCAGAACCTCCCTTACAGCTAGGGACATGAACTGATGACCTCACCACCCAGCCCTGGATACTCCCAGATGCAAATCAGCTTCAATGCCCAGGAGGCCATCTCTTTCATCCCCACTCTGTCCAAGGCCGTTCAATCTGCCGGGCTCAAGACTGCAGTCACTTGCTGCGATGCTGTAGGCTGGGGCTCAACCGTCAAATACACCAACGCTCTCGTTGCCGCCGGAATGGAATCCCACTTGGGCTTGATCACCTCGCACACCTACTCAGGCGACGCCAACACCGCTCTCAATACGAAACTGTCTTCTTGGGTTACCGAATCCGGCATCACGACAGCCTTTGACCTGACCTGGTATAAGAACGGAGGCGCCACCGAGGGCATGACCTGGGCCAACAAGATTGCCGTTGGTATCATCAATGCCAATCTTTCTGCTTACCTCTATTGGGAGGGCTTCGAACTTAAGCAGCTACAGTCTGATTCCCATCTTGTCGATACCCAGGATGGCAAAATCGCGACGCCTTCCGCTAACTTTTGGGCATTCGCCATGTGGTCCCGGCACATTCGCCCCGGCGCGCAGAGATTGCAAACTTCGGGCATGGTGGCATCCGACGTCTTGACCGCAGCAGTCAAAAACAAGGATGGGTCTATTGTGGTCATCTTCACGAACAATGACACTGCAGCTAAGTCTGCCAGCGTCTCATTCAAGGAGTTCACTCCCAAGTCTGCGAGCGCATGGGTCACTGACAACAGCCACAAGTTCGCTTCCACGGTAGCCACTATCTCGGGCTCGGGAGTATCTGTACCTATTCCTTCTAAGGGTGTCGTCACCGTTAAGTTGACCTGACCGAGTCGCTGGGATAACCCCATAAGGAAGTGGTGATCCAGCAACATGCTAGATCTCTGGCCATTACATGTGCACTGTTTACTATCCTAGGTATAATTGTGATAAAACAATTTTGTGTAGCTATCGCTTTTTCTTTGAGAATAGACACCCATTTTCTAGATTCTCGCCTACTGTGCGCCAGTTCCCGTCTTATCATGTCGTAAACTCGTAGGGGAGGTCGACGCTCGTTTCGTGCACCGTAATAATTAATGCTCGGTGGACCCTTCTCCACTGTCAACGTACGTCTCAAGACATTGTTCTTCTGTGCAATTAAGGCTAAGGGCCGATGTGAGTTGTGCAACAGGTGCTTTTTCTTTGCGGGCAAAGGCTCGCATGACATGAAGCCAACAAGAATAAGGCTCTTCATATCAAGTTCCTGTGCCCAAGCCCTGCTTTTACGAAATTCAGGCGCCAGAAGTCTTGCAGAAGAGGGTCATTAGACAAGTCGGATGCAGTAAATAACAGAACTGGTTAAGAAGTTCGAGGTCTTATACTTCCACAATTCCTGGGTGTTTCGGACCCAGATGGAGGTCCAGTGTCACCATTATTGCGGAAGATGTCTATGTCTTCGGTACCAAATGTCATGGAAAAGCAGAGACCGAGAACATCAAAACATCATAATCCTCAAAGCTCAACAATAATTGTTCGTTCTGAGAGAGTGTATCAGCTGGACTGATGGATTTTCCTGCTGGCGACATTGGAAGCTGGAACCTTCGGGGAATTTGGGGATTTTATAATGGGGAGTGGCCCGTTGCGGTCATCACCGCATCAAAAACACCACACTGGTCTTGGCGGTAATACGAGAAGATCGGCGGTCATTTTGTCCACATTTTTACTGCCCGATGTCACTACCAACGCAACAAAACAACGTTGCCGTCTCTGTTAGGGATTAGCTTTTATGTCTTGCAGGCTACCACTTCCAGCGCTTCCTCTCTCTTTGGACTTGTTTGCCTCCCTGTAAGCGTCACAATCTCCAGTTGAAGCAGCACCTGCCCTGTATTACCCGCCAATTGCCAGTATACTGGCCTTCACTTGATGAAAGTTTTGCGGAAGTCGTGGTATTAGTGCCCTGGTCAAATTAGAGTTCATGATCGATGTGGAGAATTGAACAGTTCATCTCATGTGCTATTTCTGGCATTGCCCATGAGACAGAACTTTTAGACAGAGGAGTAGTTGAGAGTCAGACAGAATTGCTAGTCATTCGTGTTTACCCGCTTCCAACACTGCCATAGTTTCATTTACCAGAACGCAGCCATTTTGGGATTTGCCGGACAGGCATTCCCCACACAATGGTCACCTCCCAAGCGGCGGTGACGTCGAAATCACCAACCTCGCTTGTCCGACCAAACCGACTTGGCGATGATGATCATATGGTCCAGTATCTGAAGCTTATCGCAAGTATATAATTGACTACCACGCAACCTCTTCCAAGCTGGTCTTCCTACTCTCACTATTACCAGCCGTGCAACAGAACCCCAACTATTCCAAACAACACCACCAGACACGATCCAAGAACGTTCTCATATTTCAAAATGAAGTTCACTCTCGCTACCGTCACTAGCCTCTTCGGCGTTGCTGCCCTCGCTGCACCGGCGCCCCAAGAGACAGAAGAGCCTCGCCCGTACGAGAACATCGACATCGCCGACCTTTCCGTCCGCAAGCAGCAAAATGGAACAGTCACCAACGTCAGTTTCCTCCTTTCTGGCAACAACGCTACGGACCTGGCCTGCCAGGGTGCGACCGGTGTTCCTTCCGATGTAATCACCTGCGGCGAGTCCAAGTACCGCTTCACGATCCGTCCGGGCAAGGAGACTGAGTTTGCGCTGCGCATCTACCACGAGCTTGGCCTTGCGTAAGTGACTTCCAACTATAAGACTTGAGAACGATGACGAACTGACAGGTGCAAACAGTTTTGGCTACTGGGGCGAGGGCGATGTTTTCACATACTGCCACGCCGGTGGCCTTGGAGACTTGCTCTGCAACCAGGTCAACCCTACGACGATTGTCATTGACAGCACTCCCCCACCTGTCAACCCCTAAATATTGTTTTCGCGTTCAATAGCTAGACACTTCTCAGTAAATAATGTGTTTTTAAATACAACATGACTTGTTCCCGACCACCAGACCGGGCCAAACAAACGTTTGAGAATCTGAGCTGCCAGCAAGAGTGACTCCCCGCGGATCCCGCGTATCTGTTTCCGTACATGTATTGAGTACCTCGAATTAGGCGTACACGCGCTGCAACTGATCAGAAGAGACACCCACGGAGGAAGGTTCGGAGTCGTGAGAGTGACTGTGTCATCGTTGTCGTTATGCCAGGCTGTGTGGGCTTTACCGCCTTTGTTGCAATGGTACCAGGTCGCATCCGATTGAAATTGAGAATAGAACAGTATGGGCTGTGTCAATATGATGATCTATTTCGGTGGAAATCTAGCTCGTCTAAATTGAAGCCTGGTGATATTTTATTAAGAAGACTTTACATATTGATCAGTATCATGTTTAACGGTAGACACAAGCTACAGCAAACATGCGAGCAGCAATGCCTGGTCCAGCCTCTGAGTACTTGAGGAAAAGAATTTCCTCCTTATATCCTACGAAGTCTAGGTAGGCATAGCAAACTCATTTATTCTTTCAGTGTTTCAAGTTGACTGTAGAATATCACGTACTTCTTCGCAAGGATGTTATCCGTCTGTCAACTATCAACAAGAGCCAAAATAAATGGAAGGAAAGAAAACCAAAAGTTACTGGAAGCCACCACGCACAGACCATCGATGGGAGCGGGAAGGCAGGGCCGGGAAAAGGTACGTCCCTCCGTGCCAGCTCTGCCCCGCCTTACCTAATCCGGGTACCTGAGCACTGCGGTGGCCAGGGTGAGGTCAGGTAGGCACGAGCATGTTGCGTAGCTGCGGGAGCCTTCGATTCCAACAAACAACCAAATCAGCCTCACCTTCCCAACCGACAGCCTTTTCAACTGCCAATCCACCGCAGCCACGATTCCGATCTGAACTCGCGTCGTTACCTTCAACACAAATAGAACCCCGAACTATCGCCCAGCATGTCGGAGGCAGCCTTGAAGCCCGAGAAGGACTTCTCGAAGGAGACGGACAAGCAGATCCCGGAGGCAGAGAAGCTCGCAAAGGTGCGGATTGCAGCCCGAAATTGACGTGGCTACGCAATGAATACTGATATTCGTACAGAGCGATATCTCAGCTGCCATCGAGAAGCTGAGCGTCTTGGAGAAGCAGACCCGCCAGGTGAGCAAGCTACCCCTCCCTTCCCCAGGTGCTGACGTGCTAACGGAGCGCAGTCCTCAGATCTCGCATCGACATCGCGTATACTCATCGCCATTGTCAACATCACCAAGAATGCCGGGGACTGGAGCTTGATGAATGAGCAAGTCCTGATTCTCTCGAAGAAGCATGGACAGCTCAAGCAAGCTATCACCAAGATGGTCCAGGCGGTCATGGGCTTCCTCGACTCCACCCCGAATCTCGAAACCAAGCTCACCGTCATCGAGACACTGCGGACGGTCACCGAGGGAAAGATCTTTGTCGAAGTCGAGCGTGCGCGTGTGACCAAGACTCTGTCCGATATCAAGAAGGAGCAGGGCGACCTCAAGGCGGCGACAGATATCCTCTGCGAGCTCCAGGTCGAGACGTTTGGATCTATGGACCGAAGAGAGAAGACCGAATTCATCCTCGCACAAGTCGCTCTCTGCATTGAGGTTGGCGACTGGACTCAAGCACAGATTCTAAGCAGGAAGATCAGCACCCGATACCTGTCGCGAAAGCCGAAGAAGACGCCCGAGCAGCTGGAGAAGGAGAAGAAGGAGCGCGAGAAGAAGAAGGCGAGAGGCGAGGAAGTCCCCGAAGAGAAGGAGGATGACACAACAGACCTGAAGCTGCGGTACTACGAGCAACAGATCATCCTTGCGAAGCATGATGACAAGTACCTTGACGTCTGCAAGCACTACCGCCAGGTTCTGGACACCGAGGCCGTCGAGGAAGACCCCAAGAAGCTCCACCCTGTAAGATCAACACATTCGGCTATGACAAGTACAACTACTTACAAACAATCTCTAGGTCCTCCAACGCATTATCTACTTCGTCATTCTTGCCCCCCACGACAACGAGCAGCACGATCTGCTGCACAGAATCCAGAAGGACTCCAGAATCGGCCAAGTCACCCAGGAGGCAGAGCTTCTCAAGCTTTTCACAGTTCACGAGCTCATGCGCTGGCCAGAGGTCGCAAAGACCTTTGGCCCTCACCTGTGCGAGACTGATGTCTTCGACGCCCAAACCGGCCAGTCGGACGACGAGAAGGCGCACCAGCGCTGGCTGGATCTCCGCAAGAGAGTCATCGAGCACAATGTGCGTGTGGTCGCCAAGTACTACACCCGCATCCAGACCCAGCGCCTCACCCAGCTGCTGGATCTCACTGAGGACGAGACGGAGAAGTACATCAGCGAGCTGGTCACCTCCAAGACTATCTACGCCAAGATCGATCGCCCTGCGCGTATTGTAAGCTTCGCGAAGCCCAGAGATGCAGATGATATCTTGAACGAGTGGAGCTCCAACATGAAGAGCTTGTTGGGCCACCTCGAGCGTATCGATCATCTCATTACCAAGGAGGAGATGATGGCCAACATTCAGCCTGGCGCGTCCAAGTCGGGCAAGGGAAAGTCTACTAAGGCGCATTAGACATCTGGATGGGTGCCGGGGTTTCGGCATGGGTTACGGCGTGTAATTGTAGAACACTATCTTAGACGAAGGCAATGAACCAGGCTGGGATGTGTAAAACATGCTTCGGTCTATTCTATGATGAACCAATGCCCTCGATGTACCTATCTATACCCCTACCCAATTCATTCGTTCGTAAGTTGATGTATGACGTGTATCTAAATGTTTGCTTTCGCTGCCTCTTCGTCGGCAATCTTCTTGAGGAAGCCGATCAGCGGCATGGCCCACTCCTTGGTAATAGGCACGTAATGACCCCCCGGGTGGACAACGACCATCGGCTCCTCACAACGGTCCACAAGCCCCTGACTTCTTGATTCCTCAACGACAGTGTCCAAGCTACCAAGGAAATGCAGCGTAGGCGTCTTGATCTTGGGTTCGTAAGCCCACTGCAACTCCTCAGGCGGCGCAAAGAAACCAGAGTAAATGCCTGCAAACTTGAACGGCTTCCCACCGTTAGCTTCCCGCAACGCCTGCGCCGAAGCCTTCAGGTCCTCCGGCATCTTCTCATCGCGATGCGGGCCCTCCAAGATGGCCGCCAGGAGCGCGGCAAAGGCACCGCCCTGGCTGAAACCCACCACGCCGTCGACGCCGCCGGCCTCGCGGACCGCGTCGGCGACGGTGGAGATGCCCTGGTCCAGGAAGCGGTAAGAGCCCGAGGACTCGTCCTTGCGCCACCAGGCCCAGGCGTCGATTTCCTGGTCCTCGCCGTTGGCGGACTCGTCGGGGACAAAGCCTGGGATGTCGCGCGGCGAGAGCTGTGAGGGTCCAGTTGGGTAAAAGAGTGTTGGAACGAGGTTGAAGGGGCCCAGGGACTTTGCGATGAGTTTTTCGAGGGCGCGGGTTTTTGAGCGGAAGAGGGGCCCGGATTGGGTGTAGCCTTGGAGTGTTAGTGAGGTTTTGATGAGATTTGGAGAGGGGTCATGGAGAAGAAATGTTGATTATGGGCTGGGTCTGGACGACTAATTTGGCGTTCTATAAAAAGTACGAGAACAGGGCACGTATCTTACCGTGAAGCATGAGAATTTTAATCTCTTTCTTTCCGTTGGGCTTCTTTGCTGCTGAGCCGTTCGGGGTTGCGCCTGCTGCCGTCGACATTTTGCAGGTAAAGATGTGGCTGAAGTATGAGTGGGTATTATCGACGCTCTTGACAGGAAACTGAGAAACTCTAGATACAGAAGCAACAACTCTAAGACGTAAGTGAAGTGAAGTTATCATGTGTGTGTATCTACGATGTAGTTCAGAGGGCGTGTTGAGATGTTGAGGTGTTCAGTGACAGTGTAAAGTGGATACTGACAAATCCACAGTTGACTCTTCGCCGAAAAGAAGAGGAATTGAGACGGCGATAAGAACCGCAGCCACGATAACCGATTGCATCACTCCTTGAAGTCCGATGAAGTCTCATATGGTCAATTCCAGTTTTGTATCATTCTAGTACGGTACGGCATCTGTTAATTTGTTTCATCATCTTCAATGGCTGAGTTGTCGACTGTTCAACGTCACGTGATACGTGTGCCATCCGTCCGAGCCTCGTTTATTGATGCTGCGACTCAACTCGAGGATTGATAACCACCCCTCTTGTTGTCGACTTGAAAATTCAACTCTCACCCAACGAGGTCCAGCGGGTGCCGCGTTCGGTTTAATTGCAGTGTACAAGAGCGCCGTGCAGATACGTTGGCATTGGTGACGCATTCACACACTTTATACAGACACGGATTGCTTGCAGTTCTGAATTGTCATGGCACGTGTGGCATCGGTACATTAGTACAACAGCTCAATTGCATGCGAGCCGTGCGTCTATGATACAGCGTCCATGAAGAAAACGCGTTGGCGGGTCTATATCCTCGACACGTTTCCCATTGCTCGGCTTTCTCCCCGTACAGCCTGAGCTACTCCATTGCGAACTTAATGCTTCTTGGCGAGAGGGTTGCGGGCATCGTTCTTCCACTCGTCGGCTGTATATAACATTAGTATGCGTCCTTTCGGGGGTTCCTTCGTTTGCGCGACGTACACTTCATCATGGCGTTCTGGGCAGAGTTGATGCCGTAGGCAATGACCAGACCTGCAGGATTATCAGCACACGCTGCGCTTCATGTCGCTAGTCTTGTCGCTCTCTATCTCGTGTTTTTCGCAACTTGGTTCGCTCGGGATTCAGCGTTCATCGGGGGACTCGGACATACCGGCAGCGAAGAAAGGCGCCATCGGCTTAACTGTAAGGGAGGTCAGCGATTGCGCGACGGATTCGCAGGGACGGTCTTGGAGGAATACGTACGGACGGGCGTGGGGTACTTCTTGAGTGCGCGAGCTCCGAGCCAGGTCATCTTGACGGTTGTGATGTGGGTTGCAGGGGGGAAATTGAAGGGGTCTAGATGGCGGGCGGTATTCGGAGGTTCGATGTGAAGCTATCAAAACGAGCCTTTTTCCTCCGATTGAGCTTTCGGTTTCGGCGGCTGGACCCGTAGCCGAGCAAATTGTGGCCTGAGGCCATAGCCGCGACAGACGAGAAATAGTGGAGTATTGTCCGTTTCTGGTCTTTTCCGGGCACGGGCCAGCTACTTTCAGGTCATCACGGGAAAAGAGCGGAATCGGAATATCGCAGTAATAATTTTCCGCTTGTCTCCTCAAGGTCGGATCCACCCCCTTGTACCCCGGTTCTCATGTGACATCATTCGACGCTTCTCCGCATCTGGGCGCATTTGGAGGTGATACGTACCTACCCGTGACCTTAGCAAGCTTCAGCTTCCAGCTTCGCTCACCCGCAACCCGTTCCCCCGTGCCGTGGCAGGCCGCGGCGAGAGCTTTCCCCAGGTTCTGGGGGCTGAGTTGGACTTGGGACCTAGGGATTGGCGTGGTGGTGGTGCCAGACCCCGAACTCGTAGTGTAGCAAGCCAAACATCTCCTCCCTTGTGTCACATTCATCTTGTCCCTGCCACACACACACCTCCTCCTCCTGAAGCTCTCTCTCCTTTCACTCCTCTGCCTACTACTACCGCCTTCACTTTACCAGAAAGTGCGGGGGAATCTGCAGAGAAACGAGAGACACACACCATTGTTGCACGGTTGTAGCCCGACCTCCTCCTCAACTCATCCAATTATATCCATCCCATTTGCCTAGACTGCCATTTCAAGCACGGGCGAGACCACCACCACCACCTTGACACCTAACCGCTACCTTTGCATAGGTTGCTACTACCACCACAAGCCAGCGTACCAACCTAATCGTCCGTCCGCTGCCGCCGCCTCCAAACGCCCTTTCTGCACGCCGACTTGCTTCCCGTCCTGTGATAAATCCCTGCTCTCGGGTGCTTCCTGCTTCTTGCCGATCGAGACGTATCGAATTCGCTCTCCTTCCTCCTTCACATCCCGTACCAGAGGCTTGTTCTTGCTGAACAAAGAGCACGTTTTGTCACCTTTGTTTGAGTAGACAAAACGTCCCTTGGCTCAAGCAGAAGAAGAAGAAACGACACCTCTTGGTCACCATACACCTCCTCATCTCACCTACCTTCTCCAAAACACCCTTTCTTTGCCCAATCCCCTCCCCAAAACCACCAAAGGCAAAGATGCTGAGCCAGCGATTGGTGCGAGCAGCCGGCGCGGCGACCCCGCGTTCCGCGCTGCGAGCATTCAGCTCCACGAGCCAGCAGCTCAAGGTGCCCTCCATGGCCGACGTCAGCGCCGCGCCCAAGAGCGTCGCCTCCTTCAACGACAAATCGAAGCAATTCCGAGAGCAGTTGGTCGAGCAGCAGAAACAGCGGGAAGCAAGTGCGTATACTCAATCCTCCTCCTCCCCTGCCTCTTCCTCTGAGCCCGCCCAGGACTCATCCGTGAGTGCTACTTCAGGACAGAAGGCCGAGGCCACACAGGAGCCTTCGCGCAAGGCCGGCCCCTTGACCAACCTCATCTACGGTACCAAGGAAGGTCGCGAGCTCGATGCTCAGCTCGAGGCAAGCTTCAGTCAGGTTCTTGCCCGAGGCAAGTACGTCCACTCGATCGTCCAGCACGAGGTCAAGCCCGACAAGGTCGAGGAATACACCAAGCTTGTTGGCAGCTGGTACCCGCGCATGGCTTCCATGCCCGAGAATAAGGTCCATCTAGTTGGAAGCTGGAGAACCGAAGTTGGAGACTGTGATACGTTTGGTAGGTTACCTTGCCGAGAAAAACCACCCCATGCTGAAGCGAAACCACATGATGCTAATATTAGGTTCACAGTCCATATTTGGGAGTACCAGCGCTACCAGGGTTATCACGAGTCAATCCACAACATTGGCTCGCACCCCGAATTCGCCGAGTTCGATAAGAAGCTTAAGAGCCTCATCACCTCGAAGAAGACGTCCCTCATGCAGGAGTTCTCCTTCTGGCCCACCACGCCTCCCCGCCAGCTTGGCGGCATCTTCGAGCTCCGATCATACACTCTCCACCCCGGCAACCTCCTCGAGTGGGAGACCCACTGGAGACGCGGCCTCAAGGCGAGACGCGAGGTCATGGAGGGTGTCGGCGCTTGGTTCGTGCAGATAGGAGACCTGAACACCGTTCACCACTTGTGGCAGTTCGCCAACCTCGAGGAGCGAAAGATCCGCCGCGAGAAGAGCTGGAGCGTCGAGGGCTGGAGCGAGACTGTCCACAAGACTGTGCCTCTTATTCAGAGCATGAAGTCGAGAATCTTGATCCCGATGCCCTGGTCTCCTGTGGCGTAATCGTGGGGGGTTCTTGGACTCTTACTCGGCTCAGCTGCGTAACTGCTATGCGTGGCATCGCATGCTTCTACATATCGCCCATATCAGCTTTCATTTGTCGATGCCTACGAGGCCAACACACTGGGTATGCTGACCGACATGAGGAATCATCCTGGTTCAGCGTGTGTGAGGCCAACGAAGGCAACTAGGGATGGACTGCTTTAGGGATTACGTTTTCCAACTTTAGGAAGACAGATGGCTTGGTTTGATCATGGAAGAAGGTTTCCATTTGGCGACTTGTATGTGTACAAGATTCTGGTAAACAAGACCAGCACATAGGAATTTGAAAACAGTAACCTTGCCAAAGACATGCAAACTTAACCTGCCGAACTCCGGGGTATAGAACTACATTTACACATTGCTTCACTCGTCGAACTCCTCACCCATGACAGCTGCTAGGTTTCTCCTAGCGCTGGCCAGAGTGTGACCCAGGGCAACCAACTTTGCCGACAGAGACATGAGATTGGGGTCTGGCAGACTCTCAACCCGCACCTTCTCCCTCACAAAGACCTCCGTAGCTTCTCCATTACTGGAGGGTGTACCCAGCCCGCTGGGGCTGCTTCCGCTGCTCCTTGGATGCGCCGTGCCATGCCTGTGCTTCAGCCCGCCATCCGTAACGGTGCTATACGTGAAGCGGAAAGGGCGGTCCATCTCGTCATGTTCCAGTCTTCGGACCGTTCCCAAGGCTAGACCGAGCTTGGTACCGAAGTGTACCGGCGAATCAACGGGTTCGAGGGCGCGCAGCCAGAGGACCAGACTCGATTCTTGGAGGCCTAGGTGAACGCTGATATTTGGCCCGAGGGCTGGGCTGAAGTGGACGGGCGGACAGGAGTCTGTCTGCCAGCTGTGGTCGACTTCGTTCAGGGCCGGGCCCTTGAGGAGGGAGGAGGACTCGTTGAGGGAGGCGGCGATGATGCGCAGCTGGGCGGCGAGCTGGGATGGGTTATTGGATGGGCTCGGTGTGTCTGTCAAGGAGAGGAGGTCGAGACATTCTGTTAGGTGGGTGTGGATTGTTTCGAGGGCCGCGATGTGGACCGGGTGCGAGGCGTCGAGGTTCAGGGTCTGCGTTGGGAGGGTTTTGAGCTGGAGATGGATTGTCTTGAAGGTATTAGCCACGGGTGCGTAGTCACGAAAGGGGGAGGTAGTCGGCAGAGAACAGACTTACCCCTTTGATTATCCGCGTGCCGACCCGGGTCACTGTTCCCTTTACGCGCTCGTTACGCTGCGTGCTCATGACGAGAGTGCTTCCCGGGTCGATGGGCGCCAGAAGAGCATAGCAGTCCTGCAGGCCGTGACGGATGTCCTTGAGGATGGCGTGTGTTTCTACGACGATCCATTCTAGCTCGCGGGCCTGTGAGAGTTTGTCGAGTCTGATTAGCATTGTGGCTTCCGAGATTGGGATTCAATGACTTGGGGTTCGACGCGAGGCAACTAGAGACGGCGAGGGCACGTACGAGGCATTCCTGTTTCCCTTTTATCAGCTCCTCTGGGGAAACCGGAGGCCAGATTGCTATTGACATGCTGTCAACTCAGGTTCGCTTTAGCTTCGACAGCTCGTGAGACTTGTCTTGTCTGGTAAAACGATTCGTAGGCAGCCGCAACAGGGCGATTGGTGTTATTCGATTAGCTCATGGTGGACAGTTTGAAGCTCCAGAAGGGCATCTCGTCATCGCGGGAGGCTTTGGACCAGGGTGGTCGGTGCGCGGTGCTTTCTTCAGTGGGGGCCGAACCGATTTAGCGGAGGAAGGTGCGCCTGCCCCGCCGCTGCAGACGGGTCTGGGCCCACTTCATGCACTTTTCTCATCCGGGGGACGGGTCAGTATCTTTCTCGGTGTCTTGTTGAACATTTCAGGCCGGCGTATCTTACAATCACACATCTCAAACTCAGAGAACCTCTACAGGGTGTCTGTACACATTTCATCTCACTCCTATCTGACGAGACCCTTTTGAACCTCATACACGCCATCGGGATCCGCAAAACCGTCAAGGCAGAAAGGATTTCACGTCTCAGACTCACTCACACCCACGCAGCTGCCTACCCTAACATGGCGCCGACTCGGTCAACAACACAAGGCCAGGCTGGCAGAGATAATCCACCCTCAAAAAGACAGTCGTCTTCCACTATGACCAAGTTGCCTCGGCTGCCTGAAGGTAAGCTAGCCACTCCAAGTTTGGTTTCCCCATCGAATGAGTCTTCGCCTAACCCAATTTCAGGCTCCAAGATTCAAAAGCGTGCCTTGCCTCGCCGTCAACAACCCAACTCATCAAAATCACAACTCATCTACGTGTCAGCATCAACACCATTCATGTCAGCAGTCTCACGTGTCCGCAAGCAACTGGACAAGTCCCTCAAAGGCAACGCTCCGTCAACGAGGGGCATGAACCTCAACCAGCGCATCGACCTGCTCCATCGCGACAACGGCACCAAAGGAGGAAATGGAGAGGCTATCGTGCTCGGCACAGGCAGAGCAATTGAGAAGGTTCTCAGTATTGCGGCATGGTTCACAGAGCAGAGCGACTGCGAGGTCGAGGTGAGAACCAAGACCGTGGGCACGGTTGACGATGTGGTGCTCGAGGAAGAGGATGAGGGATTCGGGGAGGAGAGTCGTGTGAGGAAGATCAGCTGCCTCGAAGTTACTGTGAGGCTTCGGTGATGCTCTGAAAGTATTTGGAGATGCGTTTTGCTGCCCTTGCGAAGACCGATGAAGTTCAACTCGGCTCCTGGCCTTCGACGATGTTAGGAAGAGCCGGACCGGCCTGGCTCCGAGGTCATGCACCATGACCTGCGACCTGATAACCAAATTTCTTCTGTCCTCGAACATCCCTGGGCTATCAATTACCGGCAGGTCCTCTGGAGTCATTTCTCGAGTCCCTTAAGTAGCAGGATCCGGTGGGATTTTATGATACCCGGCCACTAGGCCTCAATAAATCTTTTGACCAAACCCAAATTAAGTGTGTTCCAGTGGGATGAACATGGCCGCTCATTTAACGGACTTAATCGGACTAAATCATGTCATCAACTCGCCGCAATTCAAACACAGCACCCGCTACGCTGGCTAGTGCTCGGTGAGAGTTCCAAGTTCCGCTGACCAACACCGACTATACTGCTATGTATAGCTTTAGGAAACCGCTGACCTATGAAAACAGCTTCAGCAAGCAAATGCCTCAACTATATGGACCCCTTGCAAGGTCAAAGATGCATTCCACCCCTATATTCCAGATGCCCCTATGATCCAAAGCGGCAGGAGGTTCTATCTGCTCTCTCGGCCGGGTCAGCGGCAAAGCTTATCACTTACGGATTCGGGACACAACTCCGCAAAGATCTTGGATCTGGGGAGTTTCTTAAACCCAAAGTGCTCGAAATCGCGTCCTTCACTTGCGAGCGGTGGGGGCCGGTTGTCAATTTGCTGCGATTCGGCATGATCAGTCACGAACTCTTGAGTCATTCACCTAGCTAAAGTCGGCAAAAGTTCGCCGTATCGAAGCACTTGTATACTGAATTTACCAAAACAGAGTTTAGACTAGAAGGAAGCGAGGTTTGCTATATTGCGTCGGAGCTGTAAGGAACACCGACCCGGAACTGCTTGCCGAAGCTGTGCCAATGGCTTCGCCAGGCCTTATTGTCTCGGTCACAGCAAGTCAACTCGTCCGTATAAAAAGTCTCAGAATTCCTCGATTTGTTATAGTCAAACAAGTTCAGTTCCAAGTCTCGTCTATTCTCAATTACTACGCCAAAATGCAGCTCTCCACCTTCGTTTTCTTTGCAGTTTTCGGTGCTGCGTTGGCCAGGCCGCCTCCTGCGCCTGTTGACCCTTGCCCCAGTGTCCGCGACAAACTGGTCGTAAGTAAACCTTCCCGAAAAGGGGCTCAATTCAATAGATTCAGACGGGCTGACTGTTGCTTTGTAGTGTACCAATCCTCAGCTGCAATACAAGCAGTGCACCCAGTTGACCTCAACTGTTTGGTGAGTCAAAGTCCTGCTCTTCCACGTATGACTTCACCTTGCTGATAATGACGTGAAGCAACTGCCAATGCGCCCCTTGATAGATTTTGCTAGCGAAGTCGTGCGAATATCAATATACCCCTTTCGCTGCCACTCGTTGTTACTGGCAAGTTGCAGTATGAACACCATGTATAACTGGAACCGCCTACCTAAGCTATAATATCCACACGCGATCTATGAAACTATGACATCCCAAGCATATCGTCTTGCACGCCATCGCCTCATGCCGGATATACCTGGATCAATATGTCGACTCCCAGGCAGGTTGTGCTTACATTGCTCGATGCTGGCAGCCTGTATTGAATGGTGGCACCTGGCAAGCCTAGAATTCCAGTCAGGCCATAGACCAAAGGTAAAGCTTCTTGTCGCTAAAGGTACGCGAACGAGGGCTATTGATACGCAGCTGGGTTGGATTTGAGTAAGCGCAATTAGGCTTGTGTGATACATGGACACTGTGTGCGCCTAAGACGCAAGTAAGACGCTACTGTCTAGGCAGGCACGGAGGATTCCAGGGGTCTGCAAGTAGAGCCAAATTTAGGACACTATCAAGCGAAAGTACCGATCCTGAATCCTACGACTGCCTCTTCCAATTGGTGAAGATTAGCGGCGATTACAGCGAAAGGCGTGGTTCGTTCACTGTTGCGAAACCACTGATACCTAAATTCAATGTCTCGCCTTGGTCTACATCGCCAATCAGAGAGTCCCGCTACCCTCCAGGATTCGTGACATCATAGTAAGCAGCAGAGTATAAGATCAAGAGCCCCCGGCTTACCTGGAGCTGCATGGCCGCACGTAGATGATTGACTGCTAGAAATCGAGGCCATCTAATCACCGATCGCCGCTCAGACCAAACGCAAAAACGCCTGCTTTGAAGCCAACAGCCATCACTTGCTAGGGGATCAGCAATGCTATCGGTGTCCGAATGACAAGATGCATCGGTCGTGGTTCTCGTACTCGATCTCCAAGCCGTATCCTTTTCGCTGGTTTACGCCCGTCGTTCTGGTCGGCGGTATCATTCTCGCCGTCTTGCTCTCGTTAATAAACCTGAGCGCAAATGGATACTACTTGAAGCCTCTATATACATCTGATCCCAATGGCACCGAAGCCCTTTCAAACGCACAGTACGTCGACGATGCAACAATACCCAATCATTATCGTGCTAAGATTATGGTCCCAGATGGTTTAGAAAGATTCCGTTCAATTGGAGGAGTGACGTAAAAGCAGAGTGTCAACCGCGTCTGTTTACAATCGGCGACTCCTTCTTCACCTCAAACCTAGGCTTTAGGTACATTGTCAAGGCCATTTCGGACTCAAGAACCAACTCATTGTCGAGTTTGAATTACAAAAACAACACTCTCCAAAGCTGCTCACCTAAAAGCATACTTTTGAAAATGAAGAAGAGTGATACGGCGGTGCCGCCTGCTCCTTCATGGTGGCTGTCATACGGGGAGTCTACAATGGAGGCGACTGTCGACTGCACTGTTGTGACAGATGATGGTCCCGTGACCATAACGCTCGTTACTGAGGAAAATAGTGGAGGTGATCATACCTATAGCTACGTGATCGAAGATGATCCTGGAACACACGCAAGCGTGTGGTGGGGGACCAGACTGCTCAATGCGTATTGGAGCGGTGTAATGACAGTTGCAGCAAATATGACGAACATATATGGCTCCGATAACTATGTCGTTCGGAGCGGGTTTACTTACACTCCCAAGCCAGGAGAAGAGTAGGTCACTATGGCTCATCTGTTTGACTCGCGTTTGCTCACTTCTTGGTTTAGCATCTACACCGATCAATTCTTTGATCTCTACTGGTGGTTGGCAAACACGGACTCCTCGATTCTCAATAAGAACATGGACAAAAGTCTCAAAGATTACAATTCTGATGTATGTCAATCCTTTCTTTTTGAGGACTTGGAGACCATTTCCATCGAGAGAAGACATTTTAGCTAATATTAACAGTGGTACGGATCTCCAGCATTGACAGAAGGGCTTCACTCCTCAAAGATTCTCTTTTCTCTACTTTCCCTGGACTTAGGCAATTGCCAGGCACCAAACCTCCTTCTGGACGATCGTGGGCTCCGATATGCAATCCTGGCACCAGACGACTACAACCGGGATCCCGGACGGAGTTTGAACGGCTCCAGATCACAACTATACGGGTCAGACCGATACAACCAGATTCCTGCTCCCAGATCGAATGACACGAATAGCGGCTTGGTGACGCTCCGGGATAGCTACAATAAGTTCCAGCCTATGATGGGACCCTTGAGCTGCAGCAACGCTACCATTGTCAGCCAATACCTTTGCTCTGTTCCTCAACAGAAGAACGGTGGTGCAATGTTGTTTTCAATACTGCTTGCGGATCTTCTTTTTCTGCAAGCAGCTTGGAAGATCCTGACGTGGATTGCTGATGGGATGGTATCGAGAGGGAATGCGGAAGCTATGTATTGTCAGGGCTGCCAGGCTAGAATTGGTGCGTACCAGTCACTACAAGATTTCAGCTCGACTAGAAACGGCTCCGAGGCAGTCCCAAAGAGGACGATGGATTGGAGTGAGAGCAGAGAAACGATATTGAGGGAATAGAAAGCAACGTGTTTGGGCTCCTTGAGAAAATGATAACAGAGTCCATAGACTATCAGCGCGAGATGAGATGCTTTATACCGCGAATAGCACACCTAGATCCCCCCGAAGGGGTACACAACCTCTGTGGAAAGAGCATTAAAGTTCAGATTTTAGAAAGAACGCGAGGTGGTCCGCCAGTCTCCATAGGTGACTACAGCGCTGGTCGAAGGTGGGTGCATCAATGACCTTGCTCTCGCAACTTGAATATCGAAGTCTATCCTCACTCCATAGGTCAAACTCTCATTCGGAAAGGTTGTGGTGAGAGGATCTTGATAACTTGCCTACCGTTGTCATCTTTTGCCGTTGCCAGATATTGACTGAAAATATGGGGCTCCTGGGCTGTAAACGCGTTTTTGAACAGTGTGAAAGAATAGGAAAGAGTTGGTTGACGTCTAACTTACAGCCAATCGGCTCCGAAGACAAGCTGAGAGGCAACTTCCACGACATGTGGATGAAGAATGTGCATGCGGAATCATAGTCCGAGTCTATCGGAGCATGACTTGCAGAAACGTTCTCCAATGGAGCAACTTTAGTCGCTTATTTACCCGACTCAATCAACGATTGAGTCGGATTGCGGTAATTCTAACCATCTCTTCCCCAGGAACAAGGGACCGTGTCTGCAAACCCATGGGGTCATTTCCAGGGAGACAAGATGATCCTTGTCAGTCGTTCACTTATCATTGTCATTAAGTGTGTTTACCGCGCAGAATGATGGCTCTTGGCGCAACCGTTATCTTCACCGCTAGCGATACCGGAAATTTCGGTGTGGGGTAGCGCGACTCCGAAGTCAACATCGGAGGCTTCCATTCGACATCATTGCCGAAAAATGACTCTAGCGAGGGGCGAGGAGAATAGTCCCTCTTGAAGAGGGGCCGTGTTCCTCTTCTTTGACAGTTCCTCTTTCTTGCCCACCTCAGCCAACTCGCTCAGAGCCATCTTCGCTGATCACAGGCAAAGATGATGTTCCAAAGCTCTGCCGTTGTCCTAGCGGCCCTCGCCGGGCCGGCCTCCGCCAGCTACGCCT